ATGTCGAAGCCTCTTTTGCGTTCGAGATGTGCTTCCATTGAGTCGCGCCCCATCCTAATTTCGTACTTGCTGGAATTATTGGAAAATTTTTTACTCGAATTCGATTATTTTTAAGTTTATTTGAGAGTGCAGTCTCCTATCGTGTTTAACATTTATTTGAAGAGGGCGGATATTTCTCGTCCCCCCTTCCCCATCCCCTCTCCTTCCTTGCAACGCACTCTTCATCATCAAAACTGCCTTAAAACTGTGAATACTTTCTGAGATTTACATCAAGTCGTCTACGCATTTCTCCTTTTGACACTCTTGGCAGATAATAAAGTCCTTCGTTTGTCTACCTTCTTCTGCAGCATGCAGATGTTTCGTTTTCTGACTTCAGCATTTTATGGAAGAAGATGCGGCTTCAAGCTTAAGGACATTTGAGAACAGACAAATAGTGTGTCCCTGGTAAATGTTTGTTGGTTTGCAGATTTTTCATGGGGTCACAACAAAGTGTCTTAGAGGGTACAGCTTGTGGTCCCCCAGCGATTGGATTGGGTGAGTTGCTTTGTCTTTATCATTTCCGTTCGGTTGTGTGAAGCACCTACTTCATTTTGGCCCACACAGGTGATTCTTTGGCCTTTACATTTCAGAAGACAGGCATTTGTCACTTGCCTCCATTCCCACCGCTCCCTTGCCGTCGTCTCCGAGCTTTCCAGGAATGCCACTTCTTCCCCATTCCATAAAGGCAAGATTTCGACCAAATGTCAACCCTAGACGTCAACGTCCACTTTCCTGTGTAATTCCAAACCAAGGTCCTGCTCTTCCAGTTCGTAGAAGTGCCGGTTCTTCCAGACAAGTTGTTACTGTGTCGGAGGCTCCCTCAAACCTTTTTCGATCCTCTTCCACGCCCAAAGTGTGCGGTGCTTCGGCCGGGTGTCGGGAAGATTCACAGTGGGAAATCCACCAGTTACAACATCGTATACCACGATTTGAGCCTCTGGCGACCTGGCAGAATCTTGGCGGTTCGGATCCCACTCCGGTTAGTCGATTTGCAAGGTCTTTGTTGGGACATGGAAGAAGTTCCTTACACTCAGGTTGCATGTCTAGCTGATAGAAATGGTGGAGGTCTACAAGCGACACTACGCAACGCTGGCAAATACCGTTGCTCAGAAACAGGAGGAAATTGTTGCCCTTGAAAGAAAGGTAACTTATCAAATGTCATTAATCTCCATTCAGTGTGGAGCTTCCTTTATTCCTGTTCCCATGATTAGATCGAGTCGACCTCGAAGCGTGCGGTTGATTCAATGCAACTTCGGCAACGAGGGGCTGGATTTCCCAACCCCGCATCCACGACTGACTCAACGGCGACAATGGCAGCAGGGACCTACCAGTTGGAGCGAATCTTCAGGGGTGTTAATGAGCTGCATGATCGCTTCAAGGCCTGTGAGAGTCTGCTGAATAATTTGGAGCTTCAAGCTAAAGCTCTTGAACAGCAAATCACTTCCCATGGAGATGCCACTGACAGATAGAATTGTTTTTTCTTCCTGCCTTTACCTTCCAC